TCAATCTTTATCATTATTTGTCATTTTCAAGACCTAGGCTGTAATATAACAGGATAATGCAATGTTAAATTCACAAATCTTTTAAGATCAATTTTAATTTTTCTCTGTCATTTACTGTTTTTACCACACCATGTAATACTTGAAACATCTAACAATTGTGTATATTCAGCATGAAATTAATGTACTTGAAAGATTAGTCTCTTCCCAGAGCCATTGGAAGTGATTGGTTTCTAATACTCAGGATTCTCCTTTCATTAACTATAGTAGAAATTTGCCAAACAATACATCACACTAAAATGCAGTCTTACAGGCATGGCATGGTTGTGCATTACTTTATTCTCAGCACTCAGGAGACAGAGGGAGGCAGCCTCCTATGAGATCAAGGTTAGCCTGTTTTACATAGCTAGTTCCAGGCCAATTGGGAGATCCTGAAAACCCAAACAAACAAACAAACAAACAAACAAAAAACCTGAATTCTTATCTTCAAAAATGGATTACATCTGTGAAGAATGTTCCTGTGTTCATGAATTAACATGGAACAATTGGCATTAATGAAACATTGCTAATGGACAATATACTCCTTCAACTCTGAGTCAATGTTTGCTATAAATTGTCATGATAATCTTTATAAATCAGAAAATACAAATTTAGTTTAGGGTCAAACTAGCCTACAGAGCCAGTCCCTCAAAAAGCTACATTTTTGGGGATACAAATGTTTCTAAACAAAAGTCATGTCTATCAAAATATCATATACCATTACATGGAATTATAGAAATGATTGATATTCAATTTTTATATGATATTGTAGCATATAATGAAGACTGTACAGTGTCCTGGACTTTTTGTTACAGATTTTCCATGTTTAAAAATATTTGATATTTGAATATTGTTCTGCTTTTGTTATGTAAATTGAGAGACTTGTATTTTACACACTTTAGGATTTTTTAAGTTGCATATATACATGAACATTTTCACATATTCACATGCTATTTACAGAGTATGTGGCAACTCCTTGATGCTTATATATTTTATTCACCCTGTGTGTTCTTTGATAGTAAATAAAGAGATATTAATCATGGAACGTTGGGATGCTCCTGTTCACTATGAAATTTCTGATACTTTCTTAGATAGGAGTCATTTCTAAATGGTGTCTGACAATCATTTTAAGCATTAGGGTCTGATTAAAATAAGGATTCTGTGATATTCCACAAGATTAGATAGAAAAGCAAAGACTTCTGGCTTCCTCACATTTTTGTTTCTAGTTTATCCAAATTGTGAACTGTTTTTTATTAAATTAGAATAAAGTTTTATTAGAGATTTTAACATTTTGTATTCAATTCTGATATTCTTCAGTAAACTATGGAGTTTTGTAATATATAATTATAAACATGTCACCATTTCCCATATTTAAACATATCCCTCTAGTACAGATTGTTTTGTTTTCTAAGGATTGAGCAGAGTAAAGGGTTTACCACATTCTCTCTATATGTTGCCTTTGCATTAGAAATTTTTGATAACTGCTACCACTTCACATATGATAAAAGGAATTGCCAAACAATATACAGTTGTGTATATATGTATATGTACTATATATACTGTATATATGTATATA